ATACAGCTAATCCCTTATCACACCAAGTGATTGCTTGTTCAAATCTCTTCAGTTCAACACAGGCAAAGGCTCCTGCAGGAAACAACACAATGGAGATATAATGACTATGGCTTAATTCCGAGAAAAGAACCAGAAATCATTGAAAGCTAACTTATTACAGACCAGGAAAGACAAAGCAACTAAATGGAAAGAATAAACAGGCCCTATTAGGTTTCAGTTAGATTAGTTTTTGATAATTGAAACTTCTGAGGACATTTGAGTTGAGACTAACAATTCCCACAAAATCACTAAGAGATATAGATATAACAAGACATGCCATGGGAAAACACAAAAAGGAAAATCACTTTTTTTTATTTGATAATGGTACATTTTTTGGTTAACTTTTTTAGAACTGGGTTTAATTTCAACTTCAATCAAAATACAAGAGACTCAAGCTACAGTTTAAAGTTCACCAACAATAAGATTTACTCATGCTGTCTCTAGTTACATTCTTATTACATGTATTATAGCCTTTAAAGTTGAGTTATACTTGATGAATGAGGAAAGTTTCCTTACAGTTTTGAGTTCAGGTAAGTCCATTACTTCTTTTCAAAACAGCTAGATAGTGACTAAACATACCTGATACCACTACCTAACCCATCGAACAAAAGGAAACTAAAATACTCGTGCTGAAATTTTGCCTTTAACTCAGCACTGGGATCTTTATCCAACTCAAAATAATATTCTCATTATAATGAAAAGTCATGGCACAGCAGTCTTGCACTCCTAATTGAAGTCGATTGAGACAAGATTTAACTTTATTTAACCTTAAAGTGTTCAGTTCTTGTTGTTATTATTACTATTAAAAGCACAGCAATTATATCTAACCTCTCACAATTGCCTTGAGGTAAGTTGGATTTAACTCAATGGCTGCTTCTGCATCCCTAAGTGAATCCTGGTGATTTCCTGTTTTTTAAATACATATCTCTGATTAGCTGTAAATATAGCAAATCCACCACCCTTACATTAATTTTATGAAATCATGTGATGCTGATGTTATCTGGTGTAAGAGGTTACTTCTTTGTATGTTTGAGAGGCCAATAAAAAGCATATATTTTTCTAGAGAATTTCTTTCTGGGCATATACATTCATAATTATCACCTTTTTCAGAAAACTACTACGGACAGCCCTTTAAGTTTCAAAAGAGGAAAATTGCATATTTGTTAGCTCTCATCATCTTACCAAGTTTAAAATGTGCAATAGCCCTGTTGTTGTACAGTTTGGCCTCCAGTTCTTTCTCATTGCAGTTCACTTTAATTCCTCTGGTGTAAAAATGAATAGCATTGATGAAATCTCCTTTCTTGAAGGCCTCATTACCCTCATTCCTATAAACATCAGCTGTGGCTGCAAAGAAAAAAATTAAAATAATTTGTGTCAAAGTCTTTGGTTGTAGTTAATTAGTGTATAAGCATAAGCAGCAATTGTCTCCCTCCGTGCCCTAAAAGGAAAAAACCCACTCAGTTAATTTATGAGATACTCTTTTTGCTTGAAAGCTCAATCTATTAGACTCAGTTTCTGTTGTGGTCATCATTTAGAAGAAAGGGTTGTCCCTACTTTGAAATAATCTAAGCGCAATCAAGTAAATCAAGATAAGAGCCCTAAGATAACCATAATAACATTGGATATGGGGAATCTCCCTGCCAATGAGAGAGAGTCAGCATAATTACAAGTGTTAAAGAGTCTACTGCTTTAATTACATTTAGATAGTTAATGAGTCAATAAGATCCAAATGTTGCAATCATAAGAACTAGAAGCAATATTTCTTATTGACAAACACAGTTATTATATAAATGATAAGAATAATGATGAAGAAGATGAGATTAATAGTTATGATGATGCTAATAATGTGGGTGACAATACTAGTAATAATAATAATGATGAAAATCAAGTGTCCTCAATTTGAAGTAAACCCCTGGGCATTTAAACTTTTGTAGAATGGTTTCCTAAAATTCCTATCCCTTTGGGTAAAATATGTGTTCATATGCCCCACCCAATTTTTATGTAAAAAACAAAATAATTACAAATAGCAGCCATGACTTTCAACAAATTGACCAAGCTTGAAAACCGAGAACTTGAAGACTTTTTCCTTCCAAGCCATTTCTTAGTGAAAGTGCACTAACCCCTAACACCTCCATATTAAATAATATCACACTTGTATTTTACTGGAAATTAGTCTTGACACTTGTGGTTCAAATTCCCCAATGCCAGTCGAGCAAACTTCAATTGAGTGCTCTGCAGTCACATAAATTACCCTTTTTGCAGAGATCTGCATTTTCTGCAAATTGATACATTTCTCAGCTGGCTATTCAAAGACATTTGTGTATTCTGTTAAACTATTGGCTTGATAATATATCTACTTCTTTGGGCTGGCCAAGATAAAGGAGTTGATCAGTTTCCTTAAAATGATCATTAAATTTCTTGAATGATACCTGTCTAAATTTGGTGAAACAACAAATTTGTTAACATGTTGAGGGGGCATAAAAAAGACATAACTTGCAAACCTCTGCTAATGTGTTTTAAAGCATTGATGATTAGACGATGCCCTGTTTATTCAGTTAAAGACAGCTCTCCAAAACACTTTGTATGTGCTCACCTGAACCCTGCAGAAAAAAGTTTCGTGCAGCCTTGTACTCCTCCAGCTGAATAGTTGTTGTCAGTCTCAGCTCAGTCAAGTCAAACTCCTTCAGTATGTCCTTTGTCACAAGATATTTCTGTGCCATGTCATTCAGGTTACCTGTGCAATAGTCATACCACAGGGCATCCAGTATCTCTAGTGAAGTACACAGGACTGTTACTATCAAACTTCCTGACTGGGCATCCAGGACAAGAACCTTGCGCACATCTGTTAAATACTCTAGAAATTCAGTTCATTCCTCACGTTTGGTTGTGTCAACTGTCTGAAAGTACTTGTGTGCGATGAAATCCAGAACTCCTTGTGTGTTGGGTACAACATAGGTTTTAACACCTGCTTCTTCGATGCTTTCTGTTCTTCCCACGAGTGGTAGACCAGCAGATGCAGCAAGCTCCACTGCCTTACGCTTAGCTCCAGTAACTACCATCTCAAGGCTTCCTGCCTGGGTATCTTGTGTGCCTTTAGGCATTCCTTCTGATGTTCCAGTAGCTACCAGCTCATCACCACAAGCTTGGGTACCCTGACTGGCTACAACCACTGTCCCTGGTGTCTCTAGTTGTGAAAGAGGGTTTGTGATGGCCTCACAATCAATCTGCATTCGAATTTTAACTGTAAGGGAAAAAAGTGTTATTAATTGCAGCAACTAGCCATTACAAAAGAGGCAAAACAGACAATTACTTTGAGTCATTGTCCAGCTACAAATAGTCAAATAACAAATAACTGACAGTTCTCTGCTTCAAAAATGTACGAAGCCATTTCTGTCAAAATACATGTAACAGTGAGCACTGCACAGGTAACCCTGATACATTGTGTAAGTGCCTGTGTTAGAGGAAAAATACTTTACTTTAAAGAAAAAATAAACAAGCTGACCTCCAGCTGAGGAATTGGGTTGACCACCAAGTTCTAATCGATCTTTGATGTCTTGGGCTACATCTCGTAACTCTTGCCTCAAGCACTGTACTTCTTGGGCTGTAGATTCTACTTTCCCTCCAAGCTGATCTTTGATGTCTTGGGCTTCATCTCGAAGCTCTTGTCCTAAGTGCTGAACCTCTTGAACTGAAGATTCTACTTTCCCTCCAAGCTGATCTTTGATGTCTTGGGCTTCATCTCGAAGCTCTTGTCCTAGGTGCTGAACCTCTTGCGCTGTAGATTCTACTTTCCCTCCAAGCTCATCTTTAATTTCTTGGGCTTGTTCTCGAACTTCATGTTCTAAGTATTTCTCCAAATGCTTCACTGAAGATTCTACTTTTTCAAAGTATTCCTTTACTTCTGTATCATTCTGGTACCAGCATTGCAATTCCTGCTCATTTCTCTTGTCCTCCTCTGTGAGGGGATCTTTTAAAAATGTATCAATGGCATTTTGCCATTCTTTTGCCTTTGCTGGACTGATTTGACCTGCAATTCTCACCAGAGCCTCACTAATTTCTCCCCAAAGAACTGAAAACTTGTCATCTGAGATTTCCATGTTCTCCTTCACATGACCATATATCGAATTGCGGTAATATTTTATTCTGGCTAAATATGCTTCTAAACTGTCATCTGTACTTGCTGGTAGTGCATCCCAGCCTGTGACAGGAGCAGTGAGGCCACATATTGTCCTTAGCAACCGGAAAAGGAGAGTTATATCAAAGTCTGTTGACTTTCCATACATCCCAGGGGAAGGGTACAGGCAGTCCATCTGTGGTTTGGTGAGCTTTGCTGCCTTAAGTAGCTTCTTCATGGCTGGATTCTGAAGTATAGTAGGAAGATTACTTGATGGAGATTTGATGTCAAAAACCTCCCTCAATAGTACAGTACCTCCACTTATCAAAAGCCGAGCCAGACGTTGAAAATTATCTCTCCCTCTCGAAGAATGAAGCACCTCAGCAGGGTCCAGAGTGGCAGCCATTTTAAAAAAGGAAAAACTGAGGCAGGATCAGTTACAAGACCTCCCTAACCTCATGATTGCAACCCAAACTGCAAAATAGATCAACAGAGTGAACAGTTAATCTCACAAATGACAGATATGGCTAATATAAAATGTCCCAGCTTAAGTAGGATGGATGGATGATTTAAGAGGAGAGGATCAAAATGGATTGCTTTCAATAATATTTAGAAATTTTCATTCCATGCTATGTGGGTATAATTTTGCTGGCAAGGAGTTGGTGTTCAACTACTTAGATGTGTTTTTTCAAGCCTATGTAGGTTGAGAAATTTTACAAAAATACCTGAAATACTCTGATCTTAGTCCCTTTAGCAGGCAAAATTTCCGCACAGCCCCATACATCATTATACATCCATATATGGGGCTTTATTATACAGTGTATCACCAGTAAGATGTACATGCATAATTAAGTATGGGGCTGTGCGGAAATTTTTCCGACTGTTCTTGCAAAAAGTCTATAATCCTTTTACTTTACAATCTTTTCAGTTTATGAATACATTATTCAGTTACAAGAGACTTGAAATACGTTTCCTCAAAGAAGGGAAACTAGGCGCGCTAGAATGTGTAGTACGTTGCGTGACACAAGAAAGAAATCACTTAGCAGTCACAACGTGCTTGCTAGCCACCTACGTCGTTTACTTCCTATGATTTACAGGAGTTGACACACAAATTTCATATCATCATTCTCTCCCGAGGTAACAATGTATGATGTATCAGTTATCAAAAACAAAGATGTTATCCATTCGCTGGAGCGGGGTAATGATAATAAACTAACGACACGCTTGCCGCTTTGATCATTCTCTGTGGAGGAATCAATTTATCAACTTCAACCTAAATTTTGACCGAACAGGAACCCAGCGAGGCTC